GTACTCATTTATTGTGTTTCGTAACAAAACCATGTCTCAGCTGTACTCATTTATTGTGTTTCGTAACAAAACCATGTCTCAACTGTACTCATTTATTGTGTTTCATAACAAAACTATGCCTCAGCTGTACTCATTTATTGTTTTTTATAACAAAACTATGTCTCAGCTGTACTCATTTAATGTATATTATCCTTTATTTTCTACTCATATGCATTCTCTTTTACGTGATTATTATCTCCTGTTGCAGGATGATAATAGAAATGGCTTAAGATAACTTAAAACTATTAGTTTTAAGAAAAAAGAAAAACAATATTCTTCTGAGAGTAATTCCACGGATACGAATTAAATATTAATATTTCAGAGTTATAGTTACAGAACATTTTTTTTTATATTTGTATATTTCAAAGATGGATGACGATTAGAAACAGTAGAAAAATGTTAAAAATTACATATTTCAAATACTCAATGCAAATATTAAGAAAGTAGTGCATTAAAAAACTGTTTGATGTTAAGCGCAAAGTTACACAATAGGCTATTTGTTTTCTTCACCCTGATATTTAGCGTTATAAGTTTTCAGACGTAACGTTAAGCTACTCCAAGGGTAATGAAAGTGTTGTAAAAATAATGAAAAAATAACCTCTATTAAATGTAGGTAAACCTAAGTTAGAAGGCAGTGTATATTTAGAAATATTAAACATTTAAAAAAAAATGTTATTTCGTTATAGCAGACAGATCAAATTGATTTAAATATGTTTAAACGTTTAAGATTTTCTTTCTTTTTCTTCTTTCTGTCATGAAGTGTAAAACATCTGATTTAAAATGACTTGTGGTGTTTAAAAATGGATATCCAATTCACATTTTCATACTTCAAAAGAAACAAGTGAGTACTAAGATATGGCGCCACTTGTATGAGCGTATTGGTATTGCTGTATCTTTTCGTATTCATGGCGCCATCTATTAAAGATATAAAACTAAAATATACTTTCTACAAAATATGTTTTCAAGGATCGCACGTGACAAAATTCGTTATAAAATAAAAATATGTTCAACCGCCAAAAGTTCAAGATTTAGTCAAGGGGAAAAAAATGGAAACTTCAATAAATGTCAGTTATGCTTTTCAGATGGCGCCACAAATATATCTTTAGTTTCCTGTGTGGGTGTTTTCTCAATTTTCATACACCTGTTTCCTCTTACTTATACAGGCGTTAAATGCCCTTAACAGAATTCTTATTATTTCTTCAGAAATCATAATTCAGCCACAAATATTCTTAATAAACTAAATTTCGCAAAACTGGATAAAACTAATTTCAGAGTTAAATAAATCATGATGATGTTATATCTATATTTTCCCCGGGCCCTCACTCGCACCACACCTTTATAATTCTGTAAATAAATGTTATGTATTCAACTCTACGGGATAATTAGCTTTTTTTTTTCATTTTCAATGAAATTCTCATCATAACAATCATAACCATAGCAGTTTGTTGTTAAGCGCAAAGCTGCACAATGGACTATCTGTACTCTGCCCATCATGGGTATTAAAAACAGATATTTAGCCTTATAAGCCCTCAGACTTACCGCTAAGTTTCCGAGATGACAGACCATGGTAGATTATGCATAAATAATCCAGATTTGAAAAAGTACATTAAATATTGTTTTAGTTTCTTCAACTGAATAATGTCTAGTTTATCAGTTTTGTACAAGTGCTTTCGAAAAGCAGCAATGAATACCATTACTAGTAGTTGAGCGAAGTAAGTGTCAGATAAATAGTAGAAACGTAGTATGGCTATTATCTTGGTAGTGGCCATAATTTACACATATAGGGTCAGTGGTAACATCAAAAATAAATACAAAGAAGAAAAAATAGCATTTTATTTAATTAAAACATGTGCTTTTAAGATATTAGCCTATTTCTAGGCAAGAAAAATAACTCCGAACCATGTTATCCACATTACATTTGCTACTAAGTAAAATATTATTATTGGTCTCGAGGTTTTACAATTGGCACATAGTTTTTAGTGAAATGTTATACTTACGATTTAGGCTACTTGTGATACCATGTTGTAGAAATAATAGTACAATATCAAGCAGTCTAGTTTTAAGTTACTAAAATAACGTTCACTTTAGTTACAAGATACTGCAGTTTTAAATATGTTTTAGTTTTGCCTATTTTCAAATACTATTTTTTTTTCTAATTAGTCTTTCATAACATCCAAATTATCTTTGTAAAAACTTCACACTCAGATTTTACTTGATGCAACAGAAGCCCAGAATTGTATTTTCACTACTTTGGTTGTTATCCAATTACCACCAAATCCGGATCAGGCATAGTCTATTGATTACCATACCATGTTCAGATTGTGAATTCGAGGGTTCGTGTATCACACTTTAGGGACATTGGTACTTATGACAGTTCCGGTGAATGCCGTTGACTAACTGTCTTCCATTTAGTCTATCAGTTTAAAATTATAGATGGTTATGAGCATATAACCCTTTGAGTAGCTTTGCGCGAAGCTTCCGAAAAAAACATCATCAAATCTACTATTTATAATTCGTTTAGGATAATGTAACAGGTTTCACACGCATACGGTAGTTTTGAGTCATTTCATTTGATGACGATTTGCTCTTCAAACTACCTTAAATTGATGAAAATTTTTTTTTCCAATATGAGTCATAACCCATCTCCTAAAACTTCTTTCATACCATTGTTGACTTTTTAAAGCTCTGAAAGTTTATTGGTTACATAACTCACTAGTAAAATCTAATTGGCTAATAATTTACATATGAAGTACACTAAAGTAAAAAACTAAGTATTATTTCGAAATTGCTAACGTAGATTACCTCTTACATGGAAACTTTTACTTCTAGAACATTTCGGGTATTATTTAGAGGTATTCTAAGCAATGCAGACAAAAATAAATATTTGGGCTAAATGAACTTGAAATAAGCCAAAACGTCGTTCTTTATAGAAACAAGCAGTAAAAGTGCATTTAACTTTTAAGCCAAATATGTTTTTTTTTTATTCTTCTAGTGCTGCTGCCATCTATACGTAAGGAATAAAACTACTATTTTTCAGTAACACAACATTATTAAAAGAATTAAAATACCATCTTACAACATTATATGACAATTTAATTAGTTATCTTTCTCTGTAAAGTAATTTGTTTTCAACACGCGACACTTTTTATATTCCATGATTTTAGATTAGGACTTCGGGTGTTCTCAAATAATTTAAAACATAAATATTATGTTTGAACGTTGAAAATTGCCAAAGCACTGGAAAACAATAAGCCAAGCTTTTACGATAAAAATCACGTAAAATGCTGATTTTGTTTCAGATTCTTCTTAAGTTGTCCATTTTGGATTCCAAATCAGAGGTGTGTAAAATCGCATTACAGATCTATCTTGTGTTTTCCACAAGTTACTGTCCAAGAAGCTTTCCAACACTATAAGTTGCCAGTTTGGCTGGACGATGAAAGACAAAAGTTTCAAAAGGGTGACTAATTATGTGTCAAGTTTTATTTGCATAGATTAACTTTTGAATACCCAATATTAACATCGTTTTCAGCTTATTTGACCAATTTTCGCATCTTATATTCGACTAGGACGCTTTTTACTTCTTTCTTCTTTTTCTTCTTTTTTAATATCTGCCAAGATCTGCTGGTATGATGGAAACCTGTTCTCGTGACGGGTCAAACAAATACTGGCAGAAATTAGTAAGATGCGATAGCATTAGCACAGCTCAACGTAACTAACGAATTGTTGTCAAAGGGCAGGCCTAAGTAACTGTTGTGAGTATGTAGAAGCAGCAACGTTCATATTAATTATTCCCTTTTGGGCAGGCACTCGATTGTCATTGTTATAACAGTAATTGTTACGACTAGTGTTCAAATGCAAATATGTTTAATAATTTATTTACAATAATTTAAAATAATTACATTGTTCTTGTAGATTTAATGCAGTTGTAAATCTTGTCTATATGGTCTCCATCTTCCGATAAAACTATTATTGAAAGAAGAGTTTGTTTGGAATTAAGCACAAAGCTACACAGTGTGCTATCAGTGTTCTGCCCAGCACGGGTATCGAAACTCAGTTTCTAGCGTTGTAAGTCCGCAGACATACAGCTGTGCCACTAGGGGGCTCAAAGAAGAGACCAATAAGGCAGGTAACAGACTTCTGTTTGTGGAAAGAGACTAAAAAAACGCACCCTTAGACTGAAAGGTCTTGTTTTGAATTTCGTAAAAAGCTACACGAGCGCTATCTGCGCTAGCCGTTCCCTAGTTTATGGAAGGCAGCTAGTAATTACTACTCACCGCCAACTGTTGGGCTACTCTTTTACCAACGAATAATGGGATCGACCGTCACATTATAGCGCCCCCCACGGCTGTAAGAGCGAAGATGCTTATGGGATTCGAACCCGCGACCCTCAGATTGCGAATCAAATGCCCTATCCACCTGATCGTGCCGAGCCTATAGTGTTGGGAAAATGTATTCCACATATATAGGATGGGACAGTCTGTGGCTCGACGTTCTGATAACAGTTTAACTATAGTTTTAATATATTTTAGAAAAATGTATCGTAAATTTCAATGGTTAACTTTAATTAAATAGTTTATTTTTGTTATTATTTATATACTTTTATTATAAAACTGAGTTAAGTCTGCAACACATAATGTTAGATTAGATATGGTGTAACCACCCGCCCAAACACAATACAAACTAATGTGAGAAGCGTGTACATTTTCAGGTTACTTTGTACATTAAATATGTAAAGTAGAATTTTAACTTTTTTTCAGAACTTTGAGCAGTGTGTGCTTTCAAGCGACCCAGAATGTACTTTCATTGATGGAGGGATCTACAGTGTATTGCTTCTTCCATACTTCTGCGGTCAGGACAGAAGATGTCTGTAAGATTTTGATGAACGTTTCTAGGCCTAAATGTCTAGCTGTTACGAATTTTAGAGTATATTCTAATGTACAAATTTAGGTCTAACCACTCGCCTTTCCTGTGTCCTACGCTCTCGTTTGGAAGTTAAGTCTATTCCCTTTTACTAGTGTGAGACAGTAATTAGTGTTTTATAATTAAAAACTCTTCTCGAAAAACCAGTTGATAAACGATTGATACAGAGAAAGCACTATCATGTGTATCATAAACATTGAATGTTACACTGTTCACATTCCTCAACAGTGTTTTCATAACGTATATATGTATATACTAGCTGGAGTACCCGTCCCCTGAACGGAAGTTATGTAAATTCTTGATTAATGAAATGTTATCTTAGGACATGAAATTGTAAAAAACGCCCATCAAAACCGCAAAATGCAAAACTGAAAATTTATATGCATCTCTCCATAGACCCAATGAACCTCCATATCAAATTTGGTGAAGATACATCTACAGGGGGTGAAGTAGTGGTAAAAAACGCCCATAAAAACCGCAAAACTGAAAATTTGTATATATCCCCGCATGGACCTAATGAACCTCCATACCAGTTTTGGTGAAGATCCATCCACACCCTGCGAAGTAGTTACATGGACTGACAACAGACAGTACTATTATATTTATATAAATATATATGCGTGTGTAGAAGGTTCATATTTATGAATAGACCTAAAAATTATGAAGAGCGTTCCTGACGAGAAATCTTTATTTGGTTTTCATAAATGTTTTATTTCTGATGTTTAGATTTTATGTTTAAAACAGGCATACTGGTTAAGTTAATATCATGAGACATGCAGCTATCATTATATCGTATAAGTCATAGGGCGTTTATTGCATTAATTTGTTGCTAACAGACGTTTTTAGTCGTAAAATCCGATCAGCAATACTTGGAATGTTATAACTTCAAAGTATTATACACTGAGGCTATGTCATGTTGGGCTAAATATATAATATTGTATTCAAATCAATTAACATAAAAAAACCCACAAGTACTGAAAACGATCGCTATTTTAGACATAAATTAAAGAATAGTAATATGTCTCAACTTTGTTTTAATAAATATTTGCTATGCTTTCCATAGGATCCACAATCATCCCTGGGCTCTATGGCAAGCTAAGCAGAACATTCAAAGATTTTATCCTGTGGTAGGTGTGTTAGAAGATATGAATACTACTCTGATTGTTCTAGAGAATACGTTACCTCGTTTCTTCCGTGGGGCCTTCAAACTGTACCACAATACTGGTAGGTATGTTTCAGTATCAACCATGTTCGTAGCTGTACCCTTTTTGTTCCCATTTCTGTTGAAAGATAGGATTAGAATCAAATATGGCAAAACCATTACATCTTAGAAAATGCAGGAATTTTGGTTGAGTTTCTCTGTTCTGACGGTTACCTTATTGTTTCAATGTGTACTTCCTATGATATGTCTCATATTTTATGACTGTCACACACCAAATATTAGGTTGCATTGCCATTGAGTTTTCATCTTATGGTATGTAAGAATAATAATACTGGCAGTGCCTGTTGAAACAATTCATCGGTTATTTTCATAAAATTGTTAGATTAAATATAAAATGTGCAGTCAACCCAATCCCTTGGATCAGAGCGTATATAGAATATGATTGTCTAGTGGGCCGTTTACAACAGTATTTTATAATTTCATGTGTTATTTCAATAAGGAAAATTGTATTGTATTTTTTTAAACAAGGGTGACTGACTGCAAAGCATTGTTGCCAAAAATGTTTGGGTCTCGATGCAATGGGTACATCGAGCACATTAGAGCGCTCAGGTTCACTAAGTAGCCACTGGGATTTTTACCGTTGGATGCCACCGTTCCTTGTTATTTTACGGAGCGCAATAAAATACTAATACCGAAGTGAACACTTTTAAACAATTGTCATTTCTATAAGAAGTGTCAATAAAATCATGCATTTATATATAATATTGACATGAGAAAAATATACATAAACCGAACAACAGCATATTTATACTCAAACACGTTCCTCTTTTTTTATTCGTTTTTTTTTCGTTAATACTCCTACCTTCGAAATACTTCTTTCACTAAGTTGACGGAGGAAGTCCAGTTTTTAGCGTGAAATTCTTTCCCAAAATAGACGTTTTTGTTCTTTTTTTTTCCTCAGGTTGACCGTTCAGCACATAAGACGACTGACCGATCGATGTTGATATCGATATGATATGAAATTTTCAGAATTGTAAAAAATGAATAACATTCTTGTATTGTACTCTTGAAAACAGGCATTTGATATATGATTTGTTTAAGGTTAACCGTTCAGGAGACATAGCGTGACAGACAGACAGATATTTGGCTATAATATAATAATATACTTATATATTTCCATGCTAAAAATAGCAATTCTGTGTATCAAAACTTTTATCATCAACATTGTCAATGACTTACAATTCAAACAATGAATTTTTTGTGAGGTTTAATATGTGATACATTATAATTTTTTTTTAATTTGGTTGGGGTGGTTTTGTTAGTTATATGATTTGACTCGTTTGGCATTGTACAGTTTGTAAATGTAATAGGTTGGAATAATTTTTACCTTTGCACTGTTTCGGCAGTATAATAAGACAGGGTAATTTTTAAATCCTGTAGGAGTTGAACTAATACAGTTTCACCAGCGTAATATCTTATTAATCGATAGGTATGGTCCTTTGAGTATTGAAGCTTTTACATTAATGATATATTGATGAGAGCACATTCAGTAAAGTTTGCCAATAACATTTAACTTTTGGGTATTTCGAGATGTATTGAGAATGTTATTACAAAATGACTTCCATCAATTGGGAAGTTGGACAAATATTTGGCAAATGATCTTTAATTAGTATAAACACTAGGTTGCGTTGCCAGTGAGTTTTCTTATAATATGTAGATATAATGATACTAGCAGATGCCCATTGAAACAATACAATGATTACTTTCCTAAAAATAGTAATGAATAAATATAAAATGTGCAGTCAGCCCAATCCCTTGGATCAGAGCGTATATGCAATATGATTGTCTAGTGGGCAGTTCACAACCATCTTTTGTCATTCCATGTGTTATTTCAATAAGGAAAATTTTATTACGTTTGTTTTTACGCAAAGTAGACTGACTGCAATGCATTGTTGGCAAAAATATTTTGGTCTCGATGCAATGGGTGCATCCAGCACAATAAATTAGGTGTTTAATGTAGATGAAAGCATACTCGATAGCATGACTGAAGAAGTATACCTTGGTGTAGCATTGGGTAAGTTACTCAAGCCATCAAATCAGTGCTCTGTGCTAGTAGTGAAGTTAATAGAATTTGAGAAGTGCTTATATAGATTTATCACAAGTCATAAAAGGTAATAATTTATTTCTACAAATCACTAATTAGACCTCACTTTTAATACTGTGCAGAGTTTGATCTCTTTATCTGAAACAGGATATTGAGTTATTGGAAAAAAATTCAGACGAGGGTTAATGGGATGATTCTTCTTAGAAATGAAAAGTTATTTTGTAGAGATGGTTAAAATCTGTTAACTTATTTTTTTTTGAGACAAGAAGAGTAAGAGGTGATCTTAATGAAGCTTACAAGATTATATGGGAGATTAGTAGAATAAAGACCTCTGTTCTCCGTGTGCTGTACTATAAAGATAATAGCACGAGAAGACAAAAGTTTAAGGTTTGGAAAAGACAGGTTATCCTTCAGTTAAGACAGTTTTATTTTTCTAATATGGTAATTGATTTATTAAATGAATTGCTACAAGCAGTATTGGTGGCCAGAATATTACAGGAATTTAGAAGGGAAATTGATAAAAAAATAAAGGGTGGGTTTAAATTTTTACTTTTCTCAAGAGTTGGTGTGAAAGGATAGCCTTGAAAGATCAAATGGCTTCCTGTTGTTTGTATGTTAATTGCATATTTCATTTTTGAAACGTAAGTAAGGCTACCAAATTTATTGGTTTTATACATATTTAGGCTACTTTACACTTTAAGTGTTGAATAATATACACCCATTGTTTTAATGTAAACCTAGTGCTTCTATTTCTTAAATATGTTTTCAGTATATGTCTGTTTCTTATAGCAAGAGTTATTTTTAAGCAGAAAGAACAAAAATGATGTCATTTTACTTGTGTGTTTCTCATAGGAAATCGAAATTGTTAAGTGAAAATAATTAAGAAACACAAAGTTTAATTTTATACGACTGATTTGGTGCAAACTTAAATTCACATGTGTTGGGCTTAACTCACCATATAGTTTTAACAATAAGCATTTATTTTAAACAGGGAATTAATTCAAACAAACTAAATGTAGAAATATGTGGAAGTTATGGATTATAAGTTATATTTACTTACAATCAATAATGCATCTTAATTTACAGAGATCCGCCGTAACCAAAACACTCGTAAGAAAGAAGTAGCTGAAGAAATTAAAGATGTAAAAGGAGGTGGAAGTTATAAGCTATACTTACTTACAATCAATAATGCATCTTAATTTACAGAGATCCGCCGTAACCAAAACACTCGTAAGAAAGAAGTAGCTGAAGAAATTAAAGATGTAAAAGGAGGTGGAAGTTATAAGCTATACTTACTTACAATCAATAATGCATCTTAATTTACAGAGATCCGCCGTAACCAAAACACTCGTAAGAAAGAAGTAGCTGAAGAAATTAAAGATGTGTTGCGTGCCAATTTAACAGCAGAGTATGAGTTGTACTTTTTCATCCAACGTCGACTACGTCAACAACTACATGATATCCAGATGAAAAATAAAGAAAAAAAGTACGTCAAAAGTAAAATTAAATGATGATTTTCAGTTCAGTTTCATTTTCTATATTAGAAAATAACTTTATACTGAAATTCAGCTATTTAGACAAGTGACTTGCATACTCAAGTTAGGGTACTTTGTTAAATATCTGTTTTGTAATATAACCTTAAGGTTACTGCAGCACTGTTAAGTAGTAAAGTGAAATTTAAAGAATATGTTTTGTTTTGTGAGGTTCAATCCTTAATGGAAAACTGAAGCCATTTTAGGGAATACTGAGACAACATCTATTGAATCCTGAAATGACATTTCAAGATATTTATTTGTGTCTCATCGTGTAACCTACAACTACTTTCAGAAACCCATTTATAGAGATAATTTTATTTTCTCTACAAACTATACGGCCCTCTCCAATTATTATTTAATCAGAACTACCATCTTTGTTATTATTAGTTTTCATTTCAGTTTCGTCTTGACACAGTATTCTTAAGAATTTGTTTTTAATTCTTGCTTAGAAATGTTTATCAATAACTCAGTCTTATTTTAACAAATAACAGATAAACAGAATTGTAAATACCGACATCTCTGAAACGAGAAAAAAGATTTGTTACCTAGCTGGATCTTCTACAGATTCCCAACTGAACTATTATAGGGTATAACAGTTCTAATATTTCATTAGTAAATTGATGACATGTATACATTTCACAATAAAATTTTGGATGCAAAAAAAGTCTCGTTAAGCCTTTTTTTTAAATCCAATATTCAGTAACAATACCAAGGATTAAGCTTCATGTACGTGACAAATTGTGACCAACTTTAATTCTTCCTGTTCTCTTCAAAAACAGAACGATTTTTAAGACTTCTTGAAAAATCCATTATTTTACCTACACTCCGAAGAATTAATTAACCACTGATGATTTACATTTATTGACCACAACGATTAATCAAAGCTCCTTCAAATACCAATTATGTCAGTTAAAAAAAAAGTTAAACCATGATTTTGTGTTTGAAATTTTAACCATCATCAAAAGTACCTTTCCTTGTAAGAAACATCAGCTAAGTTAATTCCTCTTAAGAAATGTATTATTCCACATAAAATCCCAATATTGTTTTGTTTGGCAATATTGTTTTCCACTTGTTTATTTTTGTAACAAAAGATCAATTAAAGTTAAAATCAAATTAATAAACTGCAAAGTTTGTCTATAAATAATTAAAACATTCTTTCTGAAGCCATCTAAAACCACTCTGTATGTTTCGACAATACTTTAATCCTGACATATTCTGTCACTTTGTCTTGAGAGCTACAACAACCATTGTTTCTTCTCATACCAGTTGGGCCTGGTGGTTAGGGCGCTCGTGGATTCGAATCCCCGTCACCGAACATGCTCACCCTTTCAGGCGTGGAGGCGTTATAAAGTGATGGTCAATCCCACTATTCATTGGTAAAAGAGTAGCCCAAGAGTTGGCGGTGTTGACTAGTTTCCTTCCCTCTAGTCTATCACTGCAAATTAGAGACGATTAGCGCAGATAGCTCTCGTGTAGCTTTGCGCGAAATTCAAACCAAACCATATCAATCCGGTTTTGCAGTGGGTTTCAGGCTTCATTGTAAATAACTATGGTCAACCTCCATTTCGTTTTGTTAATTAGTTTCCTAGCTTCTGCGAAAAACAACAACAAAATACATTTTACGTGACTTTCCTTTATTCCAATCATGGATAAAACAAAAGCATTTAGACAGCATACATTTAACGTGTTACAAATGGGAACTGAACATCTGTTTATCTCCATTTAGTAGCCCCAGGTATTTCATTAGTATTCTACACTTCATATTCAATACACTTGTCATCTAAGATCACCACGGACGTTTTACTTACAAGTTATAACTGGTTATTCATAGTATTTAGTATCACAACTACTTTTTTTCTCTTCTTTGGACAACGTGATGCTAGGGCAACATATTAAGTTGAGAACTTTGCACGTATATTTAATGCGATGTTTTCTTACTGCGCCAAGAACTGTTATTCACATGTCCAGTAATTTCTTAGCCAATTTCGTGCTTACAAAGATCTTATCACAAGTTACATTATAGATACTGTTTTTAGCCTTGGGTTTTGGTCTCTTGTTTGTCCTTCTTCTCTTCTAATATACACTCTCATATTATGAAGCCAGGATGTGTTACTATCACAATATGCGCAAATCTTAATGGTGTATTTTTTGGTTTGCTTGAAATATATTGTTTGAAGGGGTATTTACCATAAAGTGTGACTATTTGCCTATCAAAGGCCACATTTTCTGATGTAAATAACTGCTGGGGAGTCTGCACCCTATTCACTGAAGATGTTTTTTATAGCCTCAAATTTTTCCACTGCCTTTTTATCAGTATTATCAAGTCAACTTCCCCTTCCTTTCTTATATATTTCAGTATTTTCTTCATAATGTATTTTATCAAGTAATACAATGCAGATATCGCTGTGACAGTAATTCAATGTGCATACCTAACTGGACCTGGTGTTTCTTTGCAAGAGTTTGCAGATGGTTTTCTTCTAGTTGGCTACTCCCTCGGTGTTGTAAACCACCCAAGTTCTTCATCAGTATCCAGGCCCATACGCAGAATGTTTGAAAGGGAAGTTCTAATTTGTGTGAAGTACAATTAGCATGCAAAGCATTCTAATACACCAGGAATCTGATGGTATGCCCACAGAAAATGTGAAGCCAAAAAATGTTAATGCTTCATCAGAAAAATGTAGATTATATAGAAAACGTTAAATACCATAAGCACCTGCGCTATAGCTATGTAAGCATATTTTTTTTTTACTTCACAAGAATACGGGACTCTGGCGAACCCCCTCTAGTCCCCCAGCGTACATGCGTGGTATCATCATAACTTTTATTATTAAACTCGTTTTCTTCTACCGGTGTATCACGAGAATTTCTATTAACACATAAATTACCTTAATTTTCACTACCAGATGCCATATAATCATTACAACCGAGCTCATAGTCATCTTCAGAATTTTATTGATTTTTGTACGGATTTAGATAGTAAGTTTCATATATTTACTAACATTCGTAGTTCTTTCTGCAAGAATATATATAAACTAAATATTT